AGCCGGGAAAATATTTTCCCACAAAAAAGGCGGGAAAACATTTTCATCAAAAACCCGGAAATTGCACACGTGTGGGGAAAATCCAAAAAATATTTTTTGTAGAATATTTCGCCTATCAAACAGCCAAAAAAGTGAAAAGTGGAAAATATTTTTCTACTTCCCCGAAAAATGTGGCCTATCAAACACGGCCTTAGTCAAATATATGTTCTAGACTTCTAGCTGAGATAAATTAATAGAATAATTATATATAATTCAATGCTGTTGCTATGATGTTGTACACTGAGATGGATTTTCAAATAGGAATGTGCAATTGTTCGTTAAAGAACTATGCATGAAGACATGCCTAGAAAGGAGATGACCACGATTAATGTTTAGAGAATGTGGAAGTCATCCCAATGCGAAAGACTGCTGATTAATATCATCATTCCATAAATACATAAGAAATCAAATCTCGTTTAGTTCAATTTTATTAAGGAAGCAAAGGTAATAGAACAATTTTATGAAGTAAAAGAAACTTGAAAAAAAAAAAACTTAGGTCATGACACTTGCTATAGCACGATACGTAGCATATTGTCCCTTTGTAGTTTGAATGTGACAATATAGAACATATGCCGTGTTTTGCATGTCGATCATGCTACATGATTATATATTATAGTTGAAAACAAGTTTAACACATTTACTTGTCACAGTAATCTACACTGTTGATTTTAAATTTATCCATCACATCAATGTCCAGATTCCTTTCATATAGAGAATGTACGTCTAGCTTAATTCTTATGAATTGTATACCGTGCAATTTTTACAGCAAGGACAACAAGTGGAGTGCATGGGGGCAATTATTAATAATTATAGAGATTTATGGCTATCCACGTGATGTTATGGCTTCAATTTCGACAAACCTGATTATTCACTTGCATTAACACTTTAATTAATTGTTTAACATGTGATTCAGTAGTAATTAATAATATTGAAGAAGAATGTGAAAATAGAATCACAAGCATCATGATATTACATATCAGGAGTAGTTGTGGTATAATGATTTCAGAGCAATGATTTTGGGCGCTAAACATGGTAATTGCCGGTGATTATCTGGTTGTTGACAGTGCATATGAAGAAAACAATAAAATTGCATATTTTGTTCATAAAACTTTGACGAAAATATATAAAATAATAAACTTTTGTTTAACCACATATAAAATACAAATAAAATAGTGTTTTGTTAGTAACCATTGTTCTGAAAACCGCAAGGCGTGGATGCTAAGTTTCGAATTAGGCAAGCTTAAGCGATGTCTAGGCTTTAAAAGAATGTTTTTTTTTATTATTATAATATTATTATTTTTAATTTTTAATCAATCTAAAAATTATTTAATAATTAGAATAATACCTACAAAACATCTAAAATTATAAAATATTATACTGAAAAAAAAAAAGTGCACCTAGGCGCAAAAAAACACATGTAGGCCCAAAGCGAAGCGTTTTGCTCACACTTCGGCGCTTTTTAGAATACTATTAGTAATTGAGAGCTGCATAAGAAGAAAATTATAGAACAAAATATATAATATAAAAAAAATTAACTTTTGATTAATCACACATAAAAATACCAATCAAATAGTATTTGTCAACTTTACATGTGAAAAACTAGTGTGTATTTCTCGTGGGAAAATCTAACTTTAAATTCAATGAATTAAATTAGAAGACGGTTGAATTAAAAGTTAGGGATTGAACAGTTTGACTTTAAAGGACAGGGACAAATTTACTAGTTATTAGAAGCTAAGGACTTAAATAATCAATTTTTCGAAGAAACTTAGGAAAAATTGATTGACTGCTAAGGAACCAACCTCCACACCAAGAACAAAACACCTTAACCACTAAGCTGCAGACGACTTGACGTAAAAGTTTCAAATTAAGGTAATTATTAGTTAATTAATTAATATTCAGCATTACATATCGTTTGGCAGTTCAAATGAATAGTTATAACAATCTGAAGAACTATCTGATTGCAAGAAAGTAAAAGCATAGAGATATGATACTAAACATTTGAATGAATGGCTTACTTCCATTTGTTAGTATTGATATCTATGTATAGAATTTTACAAGTAAATTGAGTAAATAAAGGAGTATAACACGGACATAAACACCAGTAACTGAAGATTACAATCTCATCTCAAATTTTGAACTAATTCAACTGGAATGAGATGAATATGTAGAATCTGAAAAAATATGTTATTGACTATTGATTTGTTCTCCTCTGCTAGCTATCACTCTAAAACGCCCTCTCAAATTGTTGAGAAGAAACGTTACAAGCAGCTTGTGTCTTAAGAATTGAAATCGATTGGATGTGTATCCTTTGGTAAAAATATCAATGACTTGATCTTGCGTAGAGATATGTTTTACCTGAATATTGGCATTGACTACCTTTATTCAAACAAAATTGTAATCGACTTCAAAGTGGGTTCTCTCAGCGAAGTGATCTGCAGCTCTTGCAGAACCATTCTAATCCAATACAGTTTAGTTATAGCTAGTGTTGTACTTCGAAATTCAGTTTCAGTACTCGATCGTGAGACTACTCCTTGTTTTTTCGCTTTCCGAGAAATTAAATTTTTACCTAGAAACATCCTATAGCCATTGGTACTTCTTCTGCCATCAGGATTACCTGCCCAATTCGAATCACAATATGCATACAATTTGATTTCAGAAAGGGTGTTACCAACTAAAACCTCGTTATAGGGGTCAAGAAGAGAAAAATATATGAAAACAATATTGAGCTAAAAATAAAACATCAAGAGTGCAAGTAAGAATTTACTGTAGGGAGCCTAGATAACTAGTGAGTTTGAATCACTTAATATAAACTAGTTGAAGTACTCATGAATTGGGAGAATATCACATGACTAAATTGTTGATGTTGCCTGTTGAACGAAACCAAATAGAGGTGTGTAAGGAACTGATAAGTGAAACCAAACTTTAGAATTACACCGTGGTGAGAGAAAGAAAAACAAATTTGGGATGTGTGAATCTCACAAGCGAAGAAAGGAAAGAGTTGTCCATTGAGGGTTGGTAATTGAACCAACTTGTGAATATATAGTGCTACACTTGATTCTTCACACACACATACCCATTTTGCATTGGCTCTTGTATTGTGAATTTGAAGTCATTCATAAATGTGATATAATGTTCTCAAAACTGAACTAAATTACAAGCTATTTGACTGTGTTTGTGTGTTCTTCTCTTTTTCATTTTCTTTTTCTTTGTGTTTGCTCGAGGACTAGCAAACCGTTAAATTTGGGAGTATTTGACGAATGTGTTTTTACTCATGAGTTTTATACAAATCTAACTTAATTGTTGGCCAACTTTTATGATTATAGTACCTTTTTATGTGTTTGCTAGTATTGTTTTAAAGGTATGGTGAGGTTTCGTAAAAGGAGTGTTGAAGTGTACGAACAA